CTTCACTCTTATTCATTATATTCCGTCTCCCTCTTTATTTGTTAGTCTCTTGCTCCTTTTGAATGGTTTTGCAGAAAATATTTGAGTTATGAAGACAAACCTTCATGCAATCATACTGGACAGAACTTAGAAATACAAGAGTCGTTTTGTAGTTTGGAAATTTACAATGACATGATTTGGCAGATTTGTAAATATACAGCTTACAGCCTGTATGTAAAGGTTCATGCAGATCAGATAAATCTTAAATCGGTTAAACAGATGCCATATCTATATATTTCCTTTGCCAGGATCAATAAAAAAATCTTGCAGTTGGACCCAGTTTGATATGGAGGACCAACTCTGCCATATTTAAAAATAAATATAGAAATAAATAAATGCTCAATGAATAAATAAGCATACAATTAATTTCCCCCAAAAATACAAACAAATAAATGTAAGTGGAAATGAAATTATACAGTGAGACTTAAAAAAAGAAGTAATAAATAAATTAAGTTAAATATTATAATGGACAATAAATAAGGTAATTATTACAAAGGCGAATAAATAAAGAAGCTAATTAAAAGAGATATATACATTTGTTTCTCACTGTATAATTTCATTTTTACTTACATTTATTAGTTTATTGTATTTTGGGGGGCAATTAATTGTATGCTTATTTATTTGTTGAGCATTTATTTATTTCTGTATTTATTTTTAAATATGGCAGTTTCATGTTGTCTGATCAAATTTAAATAACTTGTACAAAAGCTCTTTGTGAAGGTTTTCAAACCCCTCAGAGGGTTTTATAAAAAAAATTACATGACACACCAACAAGAAGCAGTGCAGGGTGTGAGATAGAAAGAAAAGAGTATTGGGTTTCAATTTTTTTGACATAAAATCTAAAAAACTGAAAAATCTTCCATGAATTAACATAAAATCCCTAAATCTGTTTATTTTATAACCAGCATTTGCTTCCATCACAGCTGCAAATCCTATGGCATATGCATGACACATTCACACATCAGGACCATTTCACTTACAATATGTTCAAGATGAGTCTTTTTTGATGGGGAGCGATGTAAACTGCTAGATGAAACCTATAAATAGACCTTCCTGTGGCATTCCTTTAGTACTGGCTTTCCTCTTGCCACCATTCTTCTCAGACCACCTGTATTTATACAAATTCATACTAATCACACAATTTTTGGAAGGACTTAAATGCACAGGATTTTATTTAATGGCATCAGATTAAAGGGGGCTGAATGAAGCCACAAAGTCGGCATCACTTTTTCATTCCACTTCATAATCATGTTCTACTTTCTATTCATCTATTACTAAATCATCAATGAAATGCATTGGAGCTTGTTGTCGTAATGGTGTAAAGTACTTTAAAAAAGCAAGCATTATGAATGCTTTTGAAATTCACTGTAAGTGATTGTTTTTGAAAATACAGGAGTTAATGTATAACACATTCGGTTTCTGTAAGAACCTGTCAGGTTTGATTTAAATTAGCCTGGTTTCTAACAAATCTTTCAAAATAAAACACCTGCACAACATGGCCCCCATGTTACCCTACTGAAATGTGTTTCATGTATCATTAAATTGGGACATTTATTCTCCAGAAGGAGGATATTTTATCTCAGCCAACTGAACAAGGAAGCTCCAGAGGAAAAATTCGTATTCATTACTCACTATCAGTTTAAACATGTGTCTGGAAATTGAACAAATTAGATCTTGCTGCTTCGCTCTATAAACATTTCAGTGGAAACAGGCAGAGAACTGTGCAGCATTGCAGCCAAATAAAGGGGCTGAGAAAACAGTTGATCTTATTCCCCTTCATACACATTTACTCTTATTAAAACTGTTGTTTATTACTGAAATTGTTTGCTGTCATTGAGTTCCGGAAAATGAAAGCTGTAGTTAATGTAAAACCTGGAGCCTCGCTTTGTTCAGTGGATTCAAGGCTCCGCAAAGATTTAAGCTTTGTTTTTTTCTTAGCCTCTCTTTTTACTCACCGTCTCCACATTTATTTTTGCTGGTGTTGCGCCGATGCCATTTTTTGGCCCCGATACCTGGCTGTGCAGTATTGGCCGATACTGATACCATACCAATACCATCTGTTTGAAATTGATGAGTGTGTATATATGAAGAACTGCATACTACTTGGATGTAAAATATCGTAATTTTCAGACTATAAGCCGCACATGAATATAAGCCGCAGAAGCTAAATTGCATGATTTGTACATATACAATCTGCACCGGACTATAAGCCCCAGGTTTTTTATGTTTAATTACCATATGGTTCGTGCACAGAGAGGATTGTCGGGAAAGAGGCAACTGTTTGGGGAAGCTCCTGTTTATTAACATTTCAACACGATTAAATTGAGACAATTCTTCCTGCTGGCGTCTCCAACGTCTCACCATTGACTCGTTGATTCCGAGGTTACGTGCAGCGGTTCTATTTCCTTTGTTTACTGCCAAATTGACTGCCTTTAACTTTAGAGCTGCATCATATGCATTTCAACGTTTGTTTTCCATATTGAGGGTGTCACACAAACTGTCTTGCGCTCGCAATGTCCGTCTTTCTCGGAGTCTGCTTCCGGAGGACGTCCGCATTCCTGTGCGTGCGGCTACTTGTGTGTTGAAGCAAATGTGACGTCAACATGGTGGATGGTAAAATCCATAGATTTAGGTATTACCCTAGTGGCTGTTAGCTGTAAAAGTCCATAGATAAGTCGCATTGTTATATAAGCAGCAAGGTCGAAAAATGGGGGAAAAGTTGCGGCTTATAGTCTGAAAATTATGGTAATTGCCATCATCGGTAATTTTATTTTAATTTTTATATTTTATATCCATATTTTTATCTTAAGTGTATATATTAGTCTATTTTATTGCATGCCTTATACCCACAGTGTTTTAGGTATTTTTGTAATTTTATTTACCTATTCCATATTATATTCCATGTTTCATGTTGCACGATTGTACCACAAAAATTCCTAGTTTGTGAACTCCTTCACTAACAATGGCAATAAACCTGATTCTGATTCTGATCATAGTTTTGTCAAGCTGCTGCCTACTTTTGTGAAGCAGGAAAAGACTAATACAAAGTGAATCCAGTAGAAATTTTTATTGCCGACCTGGAATGGGTGACAATACTGTAGTTGAATAAACTACTGGCTCTCAAAGTGGTATCTGTTCCCTATATGTTGGTACTCCCCGATACTTGTATCTGCATCGGTACAACACACATTTTTACCACTTGTAAAAATTAGTAAAAAGCTTTAAAGTTGGTTAATATTCTATGACAAATATTATTATCATTGCATCATGCAGAGACCAACCATAAACATTTCTGAGTCCTGACCCCAGCTCATACAGTCTGACATTGAGCTCACTGTGGTATTTAATAGTATATCACACTGAGATGAAAAAAGCTGATTCTTTTTTTGATTTTGGTCATAATTTTACAGCATTATGTTATAAATAAGTTTTATACATCTTTTTTTTTCAAAATGCCATGGTACTTCAAAGAGCTTATGTTGCTGCAAACTCTAACAAGGTTTCTAACAACTTTAAAAGAGAAACTGACCCACAGCATGATGGATCCCCCACCTTAGCCAACTTAAGCTTCATGAGCTCTCTGTAAATTAATCTTTTGTTTGAAAGCAGTTATATCTCAGGTGTTTGTTGCTGAAAACCTTAATAATAGTCTCATTATGACTAGTTTATGATGAGAGAAGACCTTGTAAAACTTCCACACAACCATTTGCCATTCAGGTATCCCGTCTTTGTCCATTAGGGATTTGGTGACTTAAATAATTTTTGTTTTCTTTCCGATGTTGAAGAGCGGTTTAGACGAATTGGCCTCTGTACAATTTTATTATTTTAAAGAACAAATGATGGCATATTAATTAACATTAATTAGACACTGATGAGCAGAAAATAACTGAATTATTCATAAGAACGTTTTAGTAAAATGTATCTAACAAAAATTGTAAAGGTTGCAAAAAACCTTCAGAATTTCAACATGGGATTCAGTAAAAGAAGATATCTTTTAATCCCTTTTTGTCTGAATTTATATACATGTATATGTATTTTAAAAAAAAGGTTTTGGCCTTTTAGTAATTGCCCTATTGACAGTTCTAAACTTTCTATTTATTTTCAAAATAAATAGAAATGTAGGTATATTACACTGGCAAAATCTGTTATGGTCAATGGAAAACATAGGCTGTGTCTGAACGTCCGCCCTAACCCCTAAATCCCTCAATCACTATGTAGAGTTGGGACTATATAGTGGAACTCATAGTGAACTCAGTTAACTTACTGTTTAAACAGATGATTACTAGTTTTACCCCCCATTGGTTACATAACTCTGCCTCCCCACACGGTGCCGCTGTCGGGTAGTGAGGAGCCCCCCGCAAAGCTTTCTGGGACATATCTGCTTGTCTAGTGACCATGGATGATCACTCCATTTCAAGATGCATTGTGGGAAATTTTAAGTCCAATACTTTTTTCGTCAACTAGACATTCAGACACTTATATAAAATGACGTAACCACTATATAGTGCCCTATATAGTGGTTAAGATGGACATTTGGACACAGTAATACACCGTTGGGAACCAGTTGGAATGGAAACAAGTGTTCGAGAAAGGTTCCTAGGTCCACACTGTGTTAACTGGAACTGAGGGAAGCCACCTCCTATCTTGGATGTGTGCATAATGCAAAGGGTTTTTTGCATATTTGCAGAAATGGGTGTCAATTTGTTAACAAAAAATTCTCTCCCTTTAATTAGTAGCCAAATAGATTGATTTCTGTCAAATCTGTAGTGTGATTTTTCAGGTGAAATAAGATATGAATTTATCTCAAAGCTTTTTATTACTTTCTCAAGTAAAATGCAGGAAGCAATCAGACTAAACTCTGTAATTCTGCCAACAGAAGCTCTTGGCTTTGACACAGATTTTTCTACATGCTCAGATTGTTTTATGGTTTATTGTTTTTTCTTCCCTCCTGTTTCTCTCAGACCTGATCCACTGCACCAATGAGCTGAACGTCAGCATCCCCCATCTGGCAGACACGCTGCTGGAGCGCACGACAAGCAACAGCTGGATAGTGGTTTTCAAAGCGCTCATCGCCACACACCACCTCATGATGTACGGCAGCGAGGTAAGCTCAACATATCAATGCAGCGACTTCTGAGACAAGGAAAAACACAGAACAGCGGTTTATCATCTCAAGGTTGAAATGGAGAAGATTTGTCTGACAAAACTACATCTTTTAAACCTATAATGTGGTGACTATCCCGTTCAATTACGCTTAAAAACAAAAAAAAAATATGTAGAAAAGAAATAGCAAAAAAAGGTTTTCACTCTCTTCAAAAATCAAGACAACAAAAATCAAGAGTCAAGAATCAACAACGATTGTTTTCACAGCTGAAGTGGTTTACGAAATGATGGAGAGTGGAGTAATAAAAGAAACAGCATCGTCCGCACAGCAATCCCCCCCAGTAGGAATATTGCTAGCGTCCAGTCCAGCCGGGATGGTATCTGAGATGCCCTTCAGGAGGATTCACCATATTTGTAAAATACCGTTAAACCAAAATCTTTCATAAATCTGAAATTCATCTCATTCAGCTGGGGAGCTTTTTGTTGTTGCTTTTGGATGTGATTGACATCTCTCAAAGAAAACCAATGCAACAAGTTATCTCCTTTTATTCACATTTCCCAAAACAATGCAATCTTGAAATGTTTCATACCCTTCTTAACAATCTGAAAAAGAAAATCCTTATCTGCACAACAACAACCAAACCTCTGAAGTTTAAAAAAAATGACCAGTTGGTCCCAGATCAGATTACTCACCTTTAATCGGCTGCCAACAGTCCCAGGCTATGTGTGCGTGGTCCTTCACTGTTTTCCTGCAGATAGGAGAAAAAAACAAACCCTACCTTTGTGCAAAAAGCTTTATTTTTCTATTTTATCAAAAGGAGTAACAGTTCATACAATATATTGGTTGAAAATTAGCCCTCCCTCACATACAGGGCTGTCCCTAAGCTCTGTTATCTCTGTAAAAATAAAGAAACAAGCTTATCTGCTGAGAAACAGAGTGAAACATTATTTGTCATGAAGTCTACATTGTAAATACCGATGGTGGGTTGTGATACTGGGAACCTCGGGCGGGAAAATAACAGACTTGTTTAAACGTTCCTTTTTATTTATAAAGCTCAGTTTATCTGTCTGTCCGTTAACAAAGTATTGGTTTAAATGTGCGTGAATGTATGGACTCGCTCTCTCTGCAACTCTTTTTTTTTTTCCAACATTACATTGTTCTGCACTGCAAAAACGATCTGAAATTAAGTAAAAATTTCTTAAATCAAGTGTATTAAGCCTTAATTTGAGCAGGTAAATAAGATAGTTTGCCAATGGAATGAGTATTTTTACACTTAAAATAAGTTAATTATATAATATGCACTCGAAACAAGACAATGCAACTGATTTTTCTGGCAAAGTGTTTCATTTACCTCCTCAACTTAGGATAAAATGCACTTATTTTAAGAAAAAAATACTTATTTAGATTTACATTTTTTGCAGTGTGTTTAAATGAGACGATTAAATTGTATTTTTCTTTCTATTAAGCAACATAAAATAATATTGGGTGTTACCTGGGGCTCTAGAGAAACGCTGAATGATGATGTTTTCTAGTCACATATCCTAATAATTAACCTCTTCTAAAACAAAAAAAGCTGGATATGCTGCTCTGCAGGTAGCTGCAGTATCTCTCCAGCTCTCCTCTGTCTCTCAGAGGGACATCTTGCTTGTGTCCGACGCAGACTGATGAAGCGTCCCGCTGACATTTCAGTGGTCAGCGTGATAAGTCGCCTCGCTCTGCTGCTTGCCCTTCTTCTCCTCAACAAGAGAAAAACATCAAACATGTTTCACGATGAGCAGTTCAGATCAGATGAGACAGAAGGGATTCGGCAGACATGACCGGGAGGGTGATGACTCCCTCAAAGCATGGAAACATTAAAGCTTTTAGTGATTCCATTTGTGGCCTGATGGTTTGTGGCTGCATAAACTGCCCAGGTCTCGTTTTAACAGCTGGTTTTGAAGTTATAGAAATCACAGAGATACTACACACAAAAAAAATTAACTTAACACTTGGTTTTGCTCCCATGTTTTATGAGATGAACTCAAAGATCTAAAACTTTTTCCACATAAACAATAAAACCATTTCCCTCAAATATTGTTCACAAACCAGTCTAAATCTTTGAAGGTGAACAGTTCTCCATTGCTGAGAGGTAATCCATCCCACCTCACAGGTGTGCCATATCAAGATGCTAATTAGACACCATGATTAGTGTGCAGGTGTGCCTTAGACTGCACACAATAAAAGGCCACTCTGAAAGGTGCAGTTTTATCACACAGCACAATGCAACAGATGTCACAAGATTCAAGGGAGGATGCAACTGGCATGGTGACAGCAGGAATGTCAGCCAGAGCTGTTGCTCGTCTATTGGATGTTCAATCTCTACCATAAGCCATCTCCAAAGGTGTTTCAGAGAATTTGGCGGTACATCCCACCAGCCTCACAACAGCAGACTGCGTGTAACCACACCAGCCCAGGACCTCCACATCCAGCATGTTCACCTCGAAGATCGCCTGAGACCAGCTGCTCAACAATCGCTTTACATACCAGAACTGCGCAAAGTGTCAGAAACCGTTCAAGGGAAGCTCGTTGCCCTCATCATGGTCTCCGACTCAATCCAGTTCGTTGTTGTAACCAACTCGAGTGGGCAAATGCTCACATTTGCTGGAATCTGGTGCATTGGACAGGTGTCCTCGTCACGGATGAATCCTGGTGTACACTGTTCAGGGCAGATGGCAGACAGTGTGTGTGGGTGAGCGGTTTTCTGATATCAATGTTGTGGATCAAGGGGCCCATGGTGGCGGTGGGGTTATTGTATGGTCAGGAGTCTGTTGTGGACAAAGAATCCAGGTGCACTTCTGGTCACAGTGGCCTTTTATTGTGGGCAGTCTAAAGCCGGACTTACACTGTGCAATTTTTTGCCTTTTCGATGCGACTTTCCAGTCATGAGAGAATTTTCAGATCGGGCCGACTTTCAACCTGATCGTGTGTCGTATAGTGTACAGGGGGTAAAGAGGGGTGATCAGCCTCTCACGACCGCCTCTCACGACCACCTCCTGATCAGGAATCGTGAGGTCGGGAGAAAATTTAACATGTTTGATTTTCAGTTGACCATCGTGGGCAAATCGCTCAGTGGGCAAACAACGATTCTTCTTCTTCTTCTTCTTCTTCCTCTCAGACGAAAACACAGAAGCATGGTGGGGGTTCTTTCTGTAAAATTGACAGACCGTAGTAGCCACGTTTGCTCAGCCATGTCTTTGTCCAAATACGTCGCCGCCTTTTCTTTTCAGGGCTTTCATTACAAAGTTGCAAAATTGCCAAGGCAGCATGTTTCACTCTAGTGAAGCTTTCTATTCCTTTTCTATTGGTTTGGCTTCTGTATAGATGAGACCCAGTAGTAACCTCTCTCTCCGGGGCTGAGTCCCATGTGATTTTTAGATGTGCAGTGTGAGCAGGTAGATCGGATCAGAGCGTCGGGCCGCACATGCATCGTAAGCTGTGAATTGTGTGAACTGTAGCCTACGGTGTATTCTAGGCTTAAGGCACACCTGCACGCTATTCATGGTGTCTAATCAGCATCTTGATATAGCACACCTGTAAGGTGGGATGGATTACCTCAGTAAAGGGGAAGTGTTTGCTATCACAGATTTAGACTGGTTTGTGAACAATATTTGAGGGATATGGTTTTAATGTGTATGTGGAAAAAGTTTTAGATCTTTGAGTTCATCTCAATTGGAGCAAAACTAAAAGTGTTGCATTTGTATTTTTGTTGATTATATCTCTTGGGTGATTTCATCGTAATAATCTTGTTTTTTCATTTCTTATCCTCACTGATTTCTATCCCTTTAAAGCCAGCTGTTAGAATAAGCCCGGGCAGTTTATGCAGAACCAAAATTGTTACGTTTATATTTCTATTGCGTGTATTAACCAAAGTAAGGTTGGTACTTTTGCTCATTTAGCTGAAAATAAAGGAGTTAGTAGTTAAAATTGTTATTGGGTTAGAGCATTTTTAGTGAAAGCAAAGAATTATAGGGAATCCTTATTTAATATTAAAATATTGTTGTTTTCTTTATTGCCAACTAAAACAGAATTTACTTTATTGAGCACTTTTAAGTCCAGACTAAAATAAACAGTGCTGACTTCCTTTAATTGCGATTTGCTTCATTTTTATGGCATTTTAATTTTATATCTCAAATGTCTCTGTAACTTTTGGAGCCCTTTGGCCGGGACACTCCAGGAAGAAAAAAACAGGTCATACATTTCATTGGACTTTCATGGTTCAATAATAAAAAAATGAAAAATCAAATGTTAAGAAACAAAATATTCAGTCCCATTGGTGAATTTTGCAGTTAGAATAAACTAAAACCTTATTTTTTTTTAGCATTAAATAACATCTATTGCACACAGTATATTTTAAAATATGAATTGACTTTTACAATTTTTGCAAAACTGCAGCCCCTCAGTAGAGTATTAGCTCTGCTGAGGTAGCAATACCTCATACAACATAGGAGTTCTGTTATGAACTCCTCTTTTAAGAAGACTGAATTTGGAGAAACAGTCATTAGCTGATTGTTAATTGTAAATCTCTAACCCTTATTTAGCTAAGAGTTCCTTAATTATAGATCTCTTGTGTTACAACAAACACAGCAGCTGGCCTGATCAGAGCGGGGTTGTTTTCACGCTTTCTGAGTTCTGCTGGCTGTTTATTAATGCAAACAACACAGAAGATGTTATAGATTTATTCAAAATCTCGGGTTACTCTGAAGATCCCGCTGAACAGAAATGCAGAGTGAAAACAACAACTCCGTACTCCACTGATACACATACAAGAGAAATGAATAATACAAGATTGGCCTTTCCTTTTAGATAGCACTAGAGTTCATAAAGTGCATATTTAAAACTCCTAATTAACGTTTTATAAAGCTAAGCTGGATCCTAGGGATGCTGTTTATGAATAAGTTTTGCTGAGATTCAACTTGCATTGATAATTAGAGGAGACAGTAAGACTTGATGATGATTTTAGATATTAGCAAATTAGTCACGTGACGCAGAAAGGCTTGGTAAGAACATGTTAATGTGGGGTAATTGGGCTTTTGTTAAGGGTAAAAAAACCGTCTTAAGGTAATTTTTTCCGGTGACGCATAAAATCACCTTTTGAGTGCATAAAAGGATGTCAGCTGACCTTTTTTTCTGATGCAGAATGAGGCAAAATCCTAGTCAGATTAAAACCTCCCACCTTCCTTTTTTGCTTTTTTTTTTTTTCTTGTGTTGAGTTTTTACATGAGAAAAACAAAAAATTAAACACAAAAAACAGCCCATTCTTGATTGGCTTAACAAAACAGTGCCTTTTTTTTTATTAGACCCTTCTTTAGCCTCCAATAACGCTAAATTAATAGTTGATAAGATTTACTAGAAGAATCAACCAGCACATGTGCAGCAGTGAAAAAGAAACTAGGACACCTCATTAAATATTAACTTTGTTATTAAGAAATGCTCACACACTAATGCCTAATCTTATTTAACTTATCTTTGAGAATAAAGGGATTTAATTGCATAGAAAACTACTTATTTCTCTCTATAAATAAAATATATCGCTGAGAATCTTTTGTGCCGTTCTTCCATTCCTCCCTTCCAGCTTTGAGATGTTTGAGGGGTTTTCCTGCATTCAAATCCTCATCTCACCAAAGATCTAGTTCTTATTTTATTTTATTCTTACTTTTGGGATTTAATGTTATGTTTTGGGTCAGTTTTCTGTATATGGGTCCAGCCACCTATAACGTAATCATTGATGGTCTTCCATATTTCCAATGCACCTTGATACATGGTAGACTTCATGGTGGATTCATTGATTATGAGCTCATCCAGTCCTGCTGCAGACTGTGGATCTAATGATGGCATTTTGGGGTTTTTTAATAGGGCTGAAACAATTAATCAGATGAATTGTGATTAATCGATTAATGAATTAATCGTCAACCAATTTGGTAATCGATTAATCGTTAACTGGAGACTCTAACACATGCCTTGAGCTGACTGAGCAACCCACTTACAGTAGTTATAATATCCAAAATAAAAAAATAATATATATATATATATATATATATATATATATATATATATATATATATATATTTTGCATTTGAGATAAAAAAAAAATGTTTTTTTCATCCGTCAATATGCTCTATCCAGAACTCCACAAGTGGCAAAGTTAGTTTCATCTGGTTTAATTTAATAAAAAATCTTCTTTAAGGAACCTTTGCTATCTGATTATTAATCAATTAATTGGAAAAATGCTCAACAGATTAATCGATTTGCTAAATAGCCATTAGTTGCAGCCCTGGTTTGTAAGACTTCTTCTAACATGATGCAATCTGTTTTTCGAGTTAACCATCTCAAAGGGCCACAGCTAGGTGCACTGGCAGTTCTACTAATGAGGATTTTTTCATAGAGTAGATGGGCTGATTTAGAAATCCTTTGATATCTCTTTTAATTTTTTTTATTGTACTCATAATCTACAGTATCCTTTATGAAAACCTCAGTCTGGGTAATTATATTATACGCTTCAAAATGTTTTCTTGAAATCTGATTCAAAAGGAGCTCAGCTTCTCAAAACTCGTACAAAAATGCTTCCTCTGTAACAACCCCACCTGCCCATGCATCTCTTTAACAACGCTTTAGGGAGATAATTCACTAACTTTGTCCTCTTTGTTTTGTCTGTTTTCCGTCCATCAGAGATTGATGCAGTACCTCGCCTCCAGAAACACGCTCTTCAACCTGAACAACTTTCTAGATAAAGCTGCTCTGCAAGGTGATTTAATGCTGCTTGACTGTCTGTAGACTCAGCAGTGCTGTACGTCCGACAGAAACGGCTTTCTGTCTGAATCTCCCTGGCTCTGTTACACCATCAATAAGCCAATGTTCAAAGCTAACTTTAAACAAAATAGTTTTTGTTTTGTTTTTTAAGAAAAAAAATCCAATATTTGATACAAGTTGCTGAATGTTGCTAAAAACTGGAACAATGCTCAGAGTGTGATTATATATTGAGAAGGCAAAGTAAGTCATTAAAATTGAAGCAGTAGAGAGCAGGAGCTTGTTTAGCATACACTGCAGAACCAATCCAGAAATAAGTCAACATTTCTTAAATTAAGTGCATTTACTCTTCATTTAGACATTTACTTAGACTTAACCTTATTTATCCCATGGGATTACTCCTTCAGTGATATTCTGGTTCCTTTAGCTTGTATAGAGCACAAAGGGCAGCGTTTAAACTAGATGCCAGTAAAGATAAAAACAAAACAAAAAAAAGACAATATAATAAGAGTCTACAAGAGAGCATAAAAAAGTTGTATTATCCTGGAAAATGCTTTAGATATAAAATATCTGCACTGTGGAGAGCTAAGGAAAGTGGTTGACTTGGATTATTGAATTTGCACTAATAAATTAACCATAAATAAATACAAAATAACACAGGCTACACAGTAGTTGGCATGTGTTATTGCACAGTGAGAGAACATGAGTGACAATAGGTAATGTTTTGCAAAAGATGTCTAAGGTAGGGGGATTTGTGTAGGTAGATAAGAGGATTTTCCAATTGAATGAGTATATTTACTCTTAAAATAAAAATAATTAGAAAATATGCACTTGGAATAAGATAATGCAATTGTGTTTTCCTATTTTCAATGTAAATTGTTTTTTTCCATTGGCAAAGTTTCTCACTTACCTCCTCAATTGAAGAACAAATGCTCTTATTAAGAAAAAATTACTTATCTAGGTTTCAATTCTTTCCAGTGTAGGAATAACATTAAATAAAATAAAGAATTATAGGATGCATATGAGATGTGATCAGTCTCTTCCTTTCTCCTCTCCAGGGTATAACATGTCAACTTTCATCAGACGCTACAGTCGATATCTGAATGAAAAAGCCATGTCCTACAGACTAGCAGCAGTGGACTTCACCAAGATGAAGAGAGGGTACACATGAAGGAATGACACGCACAGAACATATTAAGGTTACTCTTTTGCACACCGTTTTTATGTCTGTTTCAGGGCTGACGGTGTGATGCGAACCATGAACACAGAGAAGCTCATCAAGACTCTGCCCATCATACAGAACCAGCTGGATGCACTGCTAGATTTTCAGGTAAGTACATCAATTGTGGGCAGTGCCTTGAAAAAGGCTCTTAATCCGTCGCACAACCCTAAACTTGAAGTGTATATGCAGTTGTATTTAGCTCTTTGCTGTTTGTAAAATAGCTCAAGCCCAGTTAGAATAGATGAACAGTTTTTCAAGTCTTGCCACAGAATATTACCAGGATTTGGGCCATTCTACCGCATGATTTATTTTATAATGCTTTTTAAACCGTCAGTCTGATCACCCTCAATCACTGTTTGAAACTTCAATAGTAACCCTCCACCTCACTGGGCGACATAAAAAAGGGTTCTTTTTTTGTCTTTTATTTAATCTGAGGATTCCTGACTAAAATACATTGAGGACGCTGAACCTACACCATTTATTTGCAGCTCTATGGGTGTTTTTTTAATTTATTTTTTCATCTGCATTATGCTGGAATATTAGCCTCCGTCCCAGTATCAGTGCGCTGCAGTTCTGTTCCGTATTAAGTAATATCCTGCACGTCATCCTATAGAGGAACTCTTCAGGATGATGTGCAGTTAAGGTTTTCTGCCTTGTGGGGTATTTTGCAAGTCCAGTTTTGGTTTCTTCTAAACAGAGTGTTTGAGAAAATCAACTTTACATGATATTATTGGAAGTAATACTTTTTTAAACAAGAATTTAAATGCTTCAAAACTAGTGTTGCGCCGATACCGGGCAAGGCCCCGATACTGCACTAAAATGACGGTATCGGTATCGACGAGTACCGACAAACAAGGCACCGATACCATTTTGAGAGCCAAAAGTTTATTTAGCTATTGTAACCCATTCCATCTAGGCAATAAAAAGTTCTACTGGATTCACTTTGTATTAGTCTTTTTCCTGCTTCACAGAGGTAGGCAGCAGATTGACAAAGCCATGATGGCAATTATTTTACATCAAAAGTCACCTAAAAAATAATATGTTGTTACCATGAAGTTAACCTCTGACTGCAACACTACAGAAGGTAATTACAGTTAGCACGGGGTTAAATAACGGTTATTTTTTTACTGAACAACCAAACGACTCTTTGAATGAGGGAACAAAATAAAACAAAACGCATCCTTCTCAAAATCTTCCAAGCACTGAAGAGACATCATGGAGTTCTCCAACTTCTCCAGATCTCATCTGGCCTGCTTCAGCCACTTTGAAGGCAGCTCAGGATCCGAATGAAACTTAAATAAGTCAACACCATCCTTATGGGTGCTGAAGTAAAAAGCTGCAACACAACATGAAAGCATAGCTGTATCTGAATCAATGGAAACTTTGGCAGCTGTCCATAACTAAACACTGTTCCAGCTTTCGGTTGTTCTCCAGCATACGTCAGCCTCCCTCAGTCACTTAGCGGAACTAGAGTCACACACAGTTTAAAATAAAAAAATTAAAACGATTCTATGCCAGCAGCCTTGATCATAGTTATTAACATTTGGGTCTACAAAAAATTCTAGAAAATGTCTATTGTATCATCAACACTTAGCTTATTCTCCTCCATTATTTTACTGCAAAGGATCATGGGATATACAGTGTTGTATAGCGATAACCTTACTTCAGTGCCTTAATAAGTCTGTTGATAACTTAAAAATAGAACTCACTTAATTGTTGTTAAATCTGACATTGATGTATTAGTAGGTTTGCAAATATACCGCACACCATTTCTATTTCAGTGGATTGAAACTAACCTAACTCAGTTTTAAACTTCTCCACAACGTCACTTGTCTGATGTGTCCCTGCTGGTTAATTAAGCTTTTTGTTCACTAAATGCTTTTATCTCAGTGTAAAAGCAGATGAATACAAATACCACCCTTCTTAGTTTTTCCTTGTCCTCCTTAAAACAATATAAAGGCTGTCTTGTTCAATGACATTAAATCGCATGAAGTGATGTGAAAAGCTCAAACTTATGTTGATTTTTCCTTCCAAACAGCCAAACTCCAACGAGCTGACCAATGGAGTGATCAACACTGCATTCATGCTGTTGTTTAAAGACTCCATACGGCTGTTTGCTGCTTATAACGAGGGTGTCATCAACATGTTGGGTGAGTGGAAACAGCATGGGCACGCCGCCCTCGTGCATCACACACTGCGCCTGAGGCGTCTGGGTCTTCTTCTAGCAAAGCAGACAAAGATGAGTCCTAGTTGTTTGGATAAATTAAAAATAAAATCTATTAGTCATCTTAAGGCACTTTACAGTTCAACCAGATCAT